TTTATAGATGTCTTGAAAAAGAATTAAATAAAATTCGAAAGCTTGACAGTAAGTCAAAGAGTTTTCTTTGTCTTGTGGGCCAAATAAACTGACTGCATCCTCAAAAATCATAACTTATATTTAAATCAACAGTCAAGAATACCACCATCTTATATATATATATATATATATAATATATAATATATTATATATATATATATATATATATATAATAATATATATATTATATATAATATATATGTAAATACTTTTTTCTTTTTGGGTGTGGTAGTCAATAAAAAATAGAGCTTTGCTAAGGCGTACTATTTATTCTGAATTCCGAGCTTTCGGTGGTTATTTGCCACCTTTATCAAGGTCTACAATGAAAATTACTGTGTTATAACATTAGGCTGATGTAATATAAAAGTTATAAAAACTTACCAGAAAGTAAGATTCATAGCATATAAAACACAACGTTAAATAACATAATGTGACCTGAATTATTGAAGGCATTAAAAATTTAAAAACTTTAAAATACTTAATAATTAAAGAACATGTTACAAAGTTTAAAAAGTAAAAAATAAGACGACATGTTTGACAAAAAACAGTCGTCTTCGCAGGTTTGAATTCAGTCACATCTCACGAACAGAAAGAGGTAGTAGGAGGAACTATTGTTGTTTAAATAGTTCGATGTAACTACAAAAAACAAACTTTCAAACTGATGTCTAGCAAAATGCCGTTTGTGATTTTAGGTACTACCAACCATGTTACCAACTTAGAATTGAGAGGGAAATTTAAAAAAAGGTTTTATTATGTCAAAAAATAAAAAGAAAATAGTATTTAGTAAATAGGTTTAGAAAAAACAAACAAACAAAACAAAATGAACATCTGAATAGTAACTGAAGTTAATCATGATAATTATAGCAATTAATAATGGAATTTACGAAACATGAAGCACTCTGAGATGCAGAAAACCCTAGTCAAAAGTCAAAATAAAATTGTAAATTTTGCTAAGATTCTGGATCTCAGATCTTTTATTCAGATTGTTGTTATCACTCCTGCTGATATGTACCATTTCTAAGAATGTTCTCTTAAATTTATTTTTCTCTCTGGCTAATATTTTAACATTGTTGAAATCTATCTTATGGTCTAGATCGATAGTGTGTTCTGCCAAAGCACAAGTGGGTTTATTTAGTCTACAGTCACTCTTATGAGAAATGATACGACTAGACAGATTTCTTCCAGTTTCACCAATGTACGTGGATGGACATTCAGTACATTGAATGCAATAAACAACATCTCTTGACTCTAAGTAGTTAGGGGTTGTTTTAATTTTGCTATATAGCTGACGTATGGTTTTGATGTTCTTGTTAGCTATTTTGATGTTCTTAAATTCTTTGAAAATTTTTTTTTTTTTTTTTCAAAGAATTTAAGAACATCAAAATAGCTAACAAGAACATCAAAACCATACGTCAGCTATATAGCAAAATAAAACAACCCCTAACTACTTTAGAGTCAAGAGATGTTGTTTATTGCATTCAATGTACTGAATGTCCATCCACGTACATTGGTGAAACTGGAAGAAATCTGTCTAGTCGTATCATTTCTCATAAGAGTGACTGTAGACTAAATAAACCCACTTGTGCTTTGGCAGAACACACTATCGATCTAGACCATAAGATAGATTTCAACAATGTTAAAATATTAGCCAGAGAGAAAAATAAATTTAAGAGAACATTCTTAGAAATGGTACATATCAGCAGGAGTGATAACAACAATCTGAATAAAAGATCTGAGATCCAGAATCTTAGCAAAATTTACAATTTTATTTTGACTTTTGACTAGGGTTTTCTGCATCTCAGAGTGCTTCATGTTTCGTAAATTCCATTATTAATTGCTATAATTATCATGATTAACTTCAGTTATTATTCAGATGTTCATTTTGTTTTGTTTGTTTGTTTTTTCTAAACCTATTTACTAAATACTATTTTCTTTTTATTTTTTGACATAATAAAACCTTTTTTTAAATTTCCCTCTCAATTCTAAGTTGGTAACATGGTTGGTAGTACCTAAAATCACAAACGGCATTTTGTTAGACATCAGTTTGAAAGTTTGTTTTTTGTAGTTACATCGAACTATTTAAACAACAATAGTTCCTCCTACTACCTCTTTCTGTTCGTGAGATGTGACTGAATTCAAACCTGCGAAGACGACTGTTTTTTGTCAAACATGTCGTCTTATTTTTTACTTTTTAAACTTTGTAACATGTTCTTTAATTTTTAAGTATTTTAAAGTTTTTAAAATTTTTAATGCCTTCAATAATTCAGATCACATTATGTTATTTAACGTTGTGTTTTATATGCTATGAATCTTACTTTCTGGTAAGTTTTTATAACTTTTATATTACATCAGCCTAATGTTATAACACAGTAATTTTCATTGTAGACCTTGATAAAGGTGGCAAATAACCACCGAAAGCTCGGATTTCAGAATAAATAGTACGCCTTAGCAAAGCTCTATTTTTTATTGACTACCACACCCAAAAAGAAAAAAGTATTTACATATTTTTTCCAAACTAGTCAAAAAACTTTGGACTACCTTGTCTTTATATATATATATATATTATATATATATATATATATATATATATATATATATATATATATATATATAGGGTAAAGTAAAACACCATGATGTCAAGTCAGAAGTGCACCAGCTCATACTTTATATTTGCTTGAATTTTATTATTTTAAAAATTTAATGACTGTAGACGACAATTAATTGGATCCCCGTTGCATGCAACCGGCAAATTTACTAGTTTACGATAAAACAATAATAACAAATACTAAAGTAAATTTTTCCTATAAATGTATGGCTCTTAAGCTGTTACTTAATAAAAAAATCATTCGTTTAATTTTATTGTATATTAAACCAAAAAAGGAATGAATACTGCAAGAGTGGAATGAATTTTTTTCTAATGTACCAACACATTTTCTAATAGCAGGTAATTTTAATGCCTAAGGTGACTGACGTCATCAAAGGGATGGCCAGATTAAAATGGAGATAGACAGGACACATAGCTAGAATGACGGATGGGCGACGGACAAAGAGGTTATAGAAATGTAGAGAAAGGGAAGACAAGAGAAGTGTCGATCGAATACTTACACGATGGGCTGACGATTTAAGAAGACAAAATAAAAACTGGATGAGAGTATCGTAAAATAGACGGGGTCTGGAAACACGAGAAAGTGGCATATGATCAGCAATGGACTTTTAAGACTGAATGATGATGAGTAAAAATAACAGAATTTTATTAATTAAAGAAAGGGCAAAAATAAAGGGTGTCACCTAGTCGTTTGTCGAGGGACAAGAAAAACTCGATACTTCACATATGAGAAGATTGGTTTAAGAAAGATTCAGAAAGAATATGACATAGGATAAACCTAAAAAAATGCATACATACTTTAAAAGAAGAAGAAATAAACACACTTGGCAGACAGTAGTGTAGAGCTCTAGAGCAATATATTGTCGCTCTACATTACTGACAAAATTATCTGGTAATCCAATAATGTACAAATTATTATGCTATAGACTAACAAATTTTATTTCTTAAAAGTTCAGCCAGGTAAAAGTTGTTATAGAATGTCAACACATTAGCGAAGTAAACATAAATGAAACAAGGCAAATAGCAAAAATCAAAAAGGTAAATTTAGACAAATCAGGTTCTAAACAAATATTCCTAAAATTAGATGGAATTCCTTTATAACTGGTTTAAGCTGAAATGTGAATTTAATGAGCAAAAATAAACAAAAACACTATGACATTACATCAGCTATAGCATATTATCATAATATTATAACTTACTGTCGAGTAAAAAGATATTTACAACTTAGTTGAACAAAAAGTATATCAATTTCTCTTACTCACTAGAGTACTGAGCTTACAAACTTCTAGGTTGTACATAAAAAATAAAGGTTATTACGAAATACAAAAAAATTAGGGGACCTAATCCATCCAAAAACGTGGTACTGTACTGCACTAAATACATATGTAATTAAAGTTTAAATGAAATTAGGAATAATTTCTTGAGTCACCAATAGAAAACATTTTGCGATTGTATCTCCAAACAGCTTGACAAGTTTTAAATTAAATTAAAAGAACTTACATAGAAATTATGTTTATTATTTTTCTATCAGTCGGCACTAAATTAAAACTTTTAACTTATTTAAACTTTAACACTATAATTTAATCTCTGTTTAGCTGCTTTGCATATCCCGAAATGAGACATATTATTTACTTATATACATCTAGTAATTAAGTGAAGTGAATTGATGACAAAATCCATCCTCCCATGAGTATGGATGTAAAAATTCTTAAGTAGAATCTTATTTCTTTCACGCACAGTAATGTGATGTAAGAACTGAGCAAATTCTTTTTAAAAAATCTCTTTAACCGAAACTGAGATCAAGCGAATTCTTGGTCAGGCCTTGAATTAATATTTCTTCACGAAAAAGCAGTTGCTAACTATATATAAACAGACTTCAAGATATTTAGATTGCCACTCTCCGAAACGCAAAAAGATGATGAACCATTTTTGGTTCTTACCCTTTAAAGGACGCATAAAAAATACTACAATTAGATAACCTGTTTAGTAGTTTAAATTAGCTACTAATTATTAATAAATTCTAAATAATTACAGTTGGAAATCGAATCACATTTCATGTAGAAATGTCAACAAATTAGCTTTAAAACCATAGTAATTCTAAGTTCCGTACATTGAAATGTATTTGTTTAATACAAAATAATTGAAGCAGTACTAATTCTCTAGTATTTCAGCCTGTATAAACATTGTTTCTAATAATACTAGCTTCAGAATTTTGTATAGTAAATTATGACAAACTTATACTTAGGGATTTATCCGCTTTTAAAAATAGTATTATTTAAGCAGTTTTAATATCTTTCACCAATTGTTATACTTTGAGGCAAATGAAAATAATATTATTTTAATCCTTAGCACTTACCTCCAGGAATATCGAGATCAAATTGGTTTTCATACAAAGTCTCACCAGAATTAGTTACTTGAACCAAGAATTGCTTTCCTTTGAGTTGTCCTTCAAAATTAAGTAGCATGCAGGAACAGCACATACTATAATCCAGACCACCTGTAAAAGAAGCAGCAGCAAACCCATATGATAAAGTGGAGTTAATTAAAAATGGTTGGTTGTTGTTGCATGTAAAAGCAGTACCATTTTCACCACATCCTATAAAAATAAGAGACAAATAATTTATTGGTCATACATCCTTTAAACATGACTTACCAGAGTAATCTGTAATGGGAGCTACAGTTTCGCCATCTAGTTTGCAGGAGTTGACAGGTTTTTGATCTGGTGTATCAATATTGTCTACCCACGCACATGATGGTTTGCAGCAGTCCCAGTATCTGGTGGTAATCCCTTTTCCGCTTAATCCATCAGGAATTGGGATGATATCTGGTGAGTCCTCTGTCGTGATGGCTGTTACTATAAAATTCGTGCTTTTATATATTATTTATACTAAGAAAATGAACTTCAACTAAAAATGCAAAATTGTTATATTATTTTGTAGATTTTATATAATGGCAAACAAGACCAATCTGATATTATACAAAAACAATGATCTTGCTCTGGTAGTAAGACATCTTTTTAAGGTGTCATCCTTACTCGTTACTTGCATATATTAACTAATTTTATATTTTTATCGAACTATTCAGAGCGACAGCATCTAAGATCAGAATAGCCATGATAATTGCCAATTTCTGTCGCGGATATAGTACGTAAAGAAGAAGGAGATATTTTATTTTATCCGTTTGGTTATAGTAGAGATTTTTGATGATTTTAAGGTCCTTTTAATCTATACTGGCAATTCTTGGGATTGAAATTAGCTTATTGTGTTTAATAGCGGCCGTAACTCAGTGGCTACTAGCTTAACAAGCTGGAGGGCCTGGATACGATTCCAAACACTGAAACCTACATTTTTTTAATTTTTAGCACTAGACTTTCGCTAGAGGGTTACACGAACTTTATTTTACTTTATCGTGTTTAATTCTACCAAGTGCCTTTTAATATACTATGTTGCAGTTTACATCTTTAAAATAAAACTTGAATTCCATTCGAGTAAGCTGTTCTTCAGATTGTTTGTATATTCCGTTAGGGATTATTTAAATAAAATCAATAAGTAGCTCATCATCATCATCATCGTCATTCAGTTTAACAATCCCTACGAATTATAGCTTATGCCATGTAGTTCAAAATCCTATTCTTCTGTGAGGTGAAGCTTCTTCTAAGCCTTCCTTTACTCTTGGGCCATAACGGTGTTCAGTTAATTATCCTTCCCAGCATATCTGAGCGTGGTCGTCTCGGTATATGTCCTATCCATTCTTAGCAAAGAGATTTTATGCATTTATCTCCCTTTAATTTTTCTTCAATTGCAGTATTTGTTTTTTCCTTTTTTCAGTCTTTTGTTATATTAAGTAACTCATAGAACACTGTATTCTATAATTATTACATTATATTGATCTGAAATTATTCATGTGTCTTTTGTTCAACTTTTACTGTTGGTTTTACATGCCTGTCCTATAAGTAGCCAGTTTTTTTTGTTTGTGTTAACCTTATATTAATTAATTTTGTAAATTAAATAAGTCATGTTCTTTTTGTTGTAGTTGTATTTCACACCATGTTTCCTTAACCTACTTGTTAAGTATTTATTTAGAACTTCTTGATTAATTACGTAAATTTTCTTCTAATTTCGCCTTGTACATTGTTCTCGTCTTGTTTTCATGCTCATCCTATAAGCAGGAGTTTTTTTGTTTGTATTAATTCATTCTGTAAATTAAATGAGTTATATTCTTGCTCTGGTAGATATATTTTGCACCCTGCTTCCTTAACCATTCGATTTTCTGGTCGCTTTCTCTTTCTTTTTAATTTTGATAGTTTTTATTCTATTGTAATTAATCTAGTTCTTATTTTTACTTTGTATCTTTCTTTATCATGTTCAAATGTTCTTGATTCACCCACACTTCCTATTTAATTTTACATGTTTAGTATTTATTTAGAATTTCTTGATTAATTATGTTATTCGTTAATAAGAAAAAACTTTTTTGATAAAATTACCTCTATCTTATGTATTTTGGTGTGCTCAGTTCGAAAATCATATTAAACATGCTGTATCACCCACCATTCTTTCACAATTTAACATTTAAAATTGCATAATTACCTTTGAGGCCAAGATTACTACTAAGGAAAAAGAAGCTTGGATTGGATTCCAAAAAGTTGTAACCAAGTTTTTTGGTAATATGAAAGACCTAACTACGAGCATATAGCAGCTAATTTATTAGATAAGTTTTTTAAGATTTTAGATACGATTTAAGATTTGGAATGTCGAATGAACCTCAAAATCCAACTTTTGCATAACCATCTTGATCATTTCCTTGAGAATCTGGCTGCAGTCAGTGAATAATGAGGCGAACGCTTCTACCAGGATATCAAGGTGATGGAGCAACCATACGAGGGATGTTGGAACACCAAAATGATGGGTGATTACTGTTGGTCACATCATCGGGAACAACAGAGTGCCTCGCATAGGAGAGAAAGCTACTTGAGAAGTTTTACAGAAAAAAAAAAGAAAATGAAAATACAAAAGCATTGACTCCTGAAATGCTTCTACAGACCTATACTGTGAAAAGATAAACATTAGATAAAAGGCATTTTTCTAATAATGTATCATTTTAATGTATTCCGGTATTTTGTGTAATTCAAATTATTATATTGTAGAATAAGCCAGCGCCATATTGTGGGAAAACTGTGGGTGATACATAAAATCTAATATCAGATTCTTTTTTAGCGCCAAAAACATACATAGGATTCACATAAATTTGTAAGAAAAGTTTTTTAAATCTTCTTTTTCGTTAATTAATTAAATTTTTCTATATTGTTTTGTAAATTGTTGGCTATTATATTGAATGAGTCTCTAAATTCTTGTTTGTCTAACCGAACATTTACTTTTATCTGTGTTCCTTTTATTTTAAATCGTAAGAAGCGATATTTGTTGGCTCAAATGTCTTTAATAACTCGTAATTTACCAATAAGGGGGTGGTGATCCGATTTTATGTCTGCAACTGGTTAATCTTTCATTAAAGTCATTTAAGTATTCATTATTTCAAATTGTAGTTCCATGACAAAGTCCAACAGCTGTCCTCTTTCGTCAAATACAAAAGGTGATACTATGTCTTCTACTTGTTCGTTGCACATTTGAGCATTAAATTCATCGAAACTCAGGTTTAAATTGTACTTGTGTTCTACTCCGTATTAACTACTGTTGTTTCTTTTAGTAGCTTAAATGATATGTTCGCTCGCAGGTATAAGAATTTTTCTTTCGCATTTCACTTGTTGTAATATTATGCATTTTTCTAGCTTCCGACAATATTTTTATAGTCCAGGTATAAATTTTAAAGATTTTATTAAAAATTATGCGTCAGTTCTCATTCGCATCCGTAATGACCTGGAAGGTCTCGCAATTTCATTGGGTTGTGCCTTTCCTACCAGATATTGGTCATCAATGCACGTCATTAATAAATATATTTCGATCTGTGTTTTTTATTATGATAACTATACTGTATAGAGAAATCCATAAGGATATTTAATCAAATATTTCACAATACAGGAGTCATCGAATGTTGTTTATTCTATACTATGTACCAATTGTAACAATGTATATATCGGAGAATCATCTCGTAATTTTCACAGTAGGGTGATCTCACATCGTAGTGACATACAAACAAAAATAAATGCATGTGCACTTACAGAACATGCATTAACGTTGAAACATGAATTTAATCTCGAAGATTCCTGTATTTTGGCAAAAGAAAAAAACCATTCAAAACGTATTTTCTTGAAATGTGTTTCATAAAATCTAGTACGTCTTGCATAATAAAAAGTCTGACATAGATAAACTGAGTAACATTTATTGTTATTTACTGGAAAAACATAAAAAATAAAATAAATATTTACATTTACATGTACACGCCATGATACACCTGTATGCATTATATGTTGCATACCATTAATACAGGTTTAAAACTTAAAAAAGTAAAATTACCCAAGATGGGCCTCTTGTTTCTTGAAAAGAAATATAATATTAAGAATACTTAATTACATTTTAATCATATTGTTTTTTCTTTCTGTTCTCTATGTATTAGAGTTAAAACACTTCATAAAAGATTACATAGAACACGCCATAAACTAAGTTTTACTATCCTTAGCTAAATTTTAAAAATTTAAGGTAACTATTAAAAAAAAACAACCAACCTTCTTTTAACATTTAAAAATCTTTTCTGTGCAATCTTATACGAGTCACCTAATTTAGACGTTACATTTTGGGAATTAAAGGGTATAGAGATTTGATACCTGCAATCCGGCAATATTTTAGTTGTTTCTTCAAATATACGCTCCACCATTTCAGCTTCAGAACCAGGTGTATCAATTACAGATATCTCTTTAGACTTTCAAATTATTTCCACAGCAATATTAAGTTTTAATCATTTTCCTCTGCCACTAGCAATGATACAGAGCTGTCCTGTTCCATACAAGACACGTAACTAACTAGATCCAAATTTCGAGAAGAATTGGTAGAATCCTTCTGACGATAATATTTAATGTAGACTGAAGCACTAACAATCCAATCCAATAAAGTATTTTGCATAGTCTGGAGTTCTTTATCTAGGTGAACTATGCCATTCTAGAAAAGTTTATAACAGAAATCTGCACATAGGAGAATAGAAATTTCTGAACTAACGTGAAACTTATCAGCTAACGTATACTCAAGAGGAATATTGAGCTTGGATATATCAATATCTACCTGAGGCAGCTTGCAAAAAATACTTTCTAAAAGTGTAACCTTTCAACTAAACTACTTTTTATCAAGGATAACTGACTAGCCGTATCGATCAGCATTTTACATGAGATATAATTACCAAATACATCCACTATTTTTACTTTACAAGTAGCCCACCTAGTAGAACCCTTTTGTACTAGATTTCTGCTAACAGCTAGCGCTTCACAAAGACATAATTTTCCCTATTGTCATTCAAAACGGGAGCACTTCCTTGTGCATGACTGTCGCCTAAAAATGTAGGAGATTGTCCTCTGGACACATCAGCGAATCCTCTTCCACCGCCTATATTCCTGAATCCGCAAGAATGATGTTTTTAGTACATAAAGCGCAGAACTGCGACGACTTACAACTAACAACTTAATGAAAATGTCCTAGACAATTTATGCAAAGTTTAGATCGTTTAACAAAAGACATTCTACATTGGATTGAGAGTGCTTGATATCCGTGACAAGCGTAAATCTTCTGATCCATATTATTCCAATATGAGCATTTATTAACATATCCCGATTTACAATTTACCACCGTGATATTAAACGAGGCCTGTATACCCCCTTTCTATAAACAGATGTATTTCTATCTTTAACGTTTAAAT